GGGCCTGCCCCCCCCCCCCCCCCCCCCGAATCGTATAATCCTGCCAGGATATAGATTCTCCTCGCCGCCTCCTGCTGCCGATTTCTCCACGCATTACATTGCTGCCACCCACACAGGCTTACAATGGCGACAATAGATTGCATCCGATTTTTGCATGCCAATTTCGGGACGCATTGTGCGAGTAGACAATGCGCCAATAATTACGCTAAACGGTGACCATTCATCCGCCCATTCTGTCGAATTCAGCCACCTCCGTCCATTATCGTAGCTGCAGGCTAAAACGATCAGCTCGTGAGTGCGAATGCGCCGCGAAGCGCCCGTCAATTTTTCCAATACGTCAAAAGTCATACATATGTATACAATCTATATGCGAAAATATATATAGACATTTTCATATACTGCACAGATATGTCATAGCATATGTATAAGCTATACCTATGTTATAGTTTGGGAAATGCATTCTGGAAGTGTGCCCGTAGTATGGGATAGTCTCATTGACTATACTTATATCTATACTTCTTCCGAGTGATCAACTGCAGCTCCGCAGCACACTAAATGACTTTTACTGAGATGCATCCACAACTATTCCCATAGAATGCTTTACCCAGCCACGATATATTTCCTGTTAGAACAGTGCAGGTAAATAAAAGAAAAAAGAAAAAAAAAAGGGTAAGTTGAAGTAGAAGTAGATGAAGCAGCGTAGACACGAGAGGGAGGCCTTATATGAGGTGTGAGCCAGAGTGTGGCTAACCGGTCGTTTATTATGCATCGAAATGCCAAGAAAGATGCCCCGTGAGTGGACAGGACGTTGCGAAGGGGTAAAAATAAAGTGACGGCAGGAGTTCTGAGTGATTTTGCGTCGCCTCGGGCCGGCACAACAGTTCTAAAGCTACGATTCTTCCTTTGCTTTGCCTTTTCCTTCCTTCCTTCCTTCCTACCTTCCTCCTCCCTTTCTCCCTTGGTCCTGTCTACTCGGCAGTGATCCTTGCACGTAGTTGCACGTCTTTGAACTTGACTTATTCCAGCCTCACAAATACCTTGAGTATTACAGTTAACTTTTAATACTTATAGGTAATTGTGTCAATTAAAAATAATTTTAATAGAGATCATTATTCGGGATGGTCATCCGACTTACCAAAGTCTCCTGCATTCAGTCCCACGTGGCCATGTGTCATCCTTGTGCGTAGCGAAAAAACTCACATCCTTCCTGCGGATCTGAAACACGGTAGAAGAATCCTTTTAAGTGTCAGGATCGATTGGCCCATAAACGTGGCGTGAAGTTTGAAAAAAGGCCGAAAGTCAATTAAATTGACTTGAATTCGTTTCATCTGCATCCCTATCGCCCGATCCTAAATAGACGGTCCTTTTAGATTTTGTGCAGCGGAAATATAATTAATTAAATCGAAGCCTTTTCTTCAGTCTCTTTGAGTCCTTCCTAAGGACGATTATAATTCCAGGATATTGGACGAATCCAAAGGTTTCTGGGTCAGCCATTGTATAAATACGATTAAAGAGATCCTTTTCAAGCAATAGTATATCGACGACTCAAGTGGGCGAACCGACTATCGAATAGCTTGTAACATTTTTTTTGTATCTCAAACTCTTTTTTTTATATTTATGTAATAAATAATAAACAAGGATACGCATTGCTGCCGATAGAAAGAGGCCACCTTCCATCTAATACCCACACACCGGTAAATCCTTCTAACGGAACAATGCCTACCGGTTTCCAACGTTATAATCTCGAGTATAATCCGTGAAAGAGAGCCCTGGACATTTTCAGAATGTAATTACGAGCCAGGTTTGCCGTCAATAAAAACAATATTAATTTCTCTTCATTTTCGCCGAGCGCAGCACGTACCACGGTGCGCGCCGTCCGGGACAATATAAGGCGGGTGGACTTTTTGTCGCTGGGACGTAATTAACAGGAATATCGCTAGTTTCACGCGTTACAAAAATAATAGACGGTCACGATCGAGTCTTGCCTGTTGGCTCCGTTAAACACGAGTCCAAGACAATGCGATACGAGGCGATACGAGGCGATACAAGGCAGTAACGACCAATCCTAGTCTGGCATGCATTACACATGGAAACTGTATACACTATGTGCATACGTACACTGGATTCGTAGTATATCGCAGTCACCACAAACTGTGCACAACCTGTACGTATATACAAGCTATGGGTAATACGCGGTTAGTTGCGCCACGAACGCATTCTATAATTAGTCTTGGGCTGAGATTTTTATTTTTGTTTAAACTTGAACGTCCTTGCGATGCTGGTGGCTCCGGTTGTTGGTACTACCACCGCGTCCAGGCCACTGTCACCAACACCAGCACAATACCAGCAGCACCGGCGTCATTACTACTACGAGTATCAGTTTTATATATTAGTGGGAGCGCATGATAGGGGCCATACAACCCGGGCACGTACTTACCAGGCTCGGCTGCTAATAATTATTATTGTCGACTTATTTTTTCACCTACTCGCCCTTGCAGCCGCGACCGTTCCACTGGCTCTAATTCATCGGACCAGGCACCACTTAAAAAACAAGATTATAAATAAATTTCACTCAGCGCCGCTTGGCTACGCTCTCACGTTGCACTAACTTTTACGCTCGATATCTCTACTCAATACACATCGACTCGTTATAGATTTCGATAGCAATATACATATACGTATACGGTCTGTGCACGTGTATTAATCGTTTCTCTTGATTCTCTTTTACTTTACTTTTTCCTTCTCTCGCTCTCTCTCTCTCTCTCTCTCTCTATTGCATTCTAATCTTCTCCTCGCTAACTACCTATCGTCCCGTATCCTATGTTAGTATCTTGCTAACAGTCTTTCTGTTTTTATTCCCATTTTCTATTGCATTCTAATCTTCGATTCTCTTTTACTTTACTTTTTCCTTCTCTCGCTCTCTCTCTCTCTCTCTCTCTCTCCCATTTTCTATTGCATTCTAATCTTCTCCTCGCTAACTACCTATCGTCCCGTATCCTATGTTAGTATCTTGCTAACAGTCTTTCTGTTTTTATCTACCGACAATGAGTGAGCCAAGTCGCTGCTAAGCGTTTCGAGAAACCCGGGGAAACCCGGACCCTACGCAAAAACCCGTGACCGTTTCTCGCGCTCCTTTGAACAACCTGCTGCTCCTTGGAGGAAGCCGAGAGCGAGAGAGAATACGAAGTGGGAATTGGAAAATAGAAGGGGGAATAAAAAACGTCTGTAACGCACTGGATAAAAAATGCAAATACCGCACGTGCCTGGTTAACGTTAACTGGTTGAGACGGTGTCTCGGGTTGTCGTGTTATAGAGGATGGAGAAAAAACAGTGGAAGCTGCGAGAAGAGGGAAGGATCGTGGGAAGAGTAGGCAATGTAGCAATATAGCAATGTAGCAATGTAGGGGAGGAAGTAGGAGTAGGTTAAAAGAAAGGTAAGAGAGAGCAATATCTTCGGGAGTGTTACTAAGCCCGGTCCGGTTAATTAGAAGGCGAATAGGTGTGCTGGTGTGTGCTGCTGTAACTGTGTCCAAAGAAGAATTACAGAACGCCCTCTTAGTATTGTTCTTTCTATTTCTTCTTCGTTCCACAGCATCACGAGCCCTCTAACACTCCCTGCCCTCCATTCCCGCTCACTTATTTGTGTTTCCTTGTGTTTGTTTAATCAGACGTGGAGCTCAGTCTTCATTACCCGTACTAATTTATCTACCCTGTCGTACAGCTATCTCTCTCTCTCTCTCTCTCTCTCTCTCTCTCTCTCTCTTTCTCTCTCTCCCCTTTTCCATCCAATGTAATCGCCTGCACTATTGTCCAAAAAAGGAAGTTTCGTATCCCTCAAGAGTTCCTTATTTAAATGAACAATTAAAGCGTGAAATCTGAATTCTCCAGCTTATTAGTCAATATACAATATCGGGTATATCCTCGAAACGGAGCAGTGCAATATTTTGGTAGTAGGTATAATAGGTGGAAAAAAAGTGTAAGGGTGGTTAAGGTGGCTATAGGGAGAGAGTAAAGGTAATTCCTGGATATCGAGAGCAATATTCGTTAAGTCCTACTAAGACCCAGTATGCGGTGTAGTTCGCTCATTGGGATAACCTCGGTTCCTCTCTTGTTAGTAAGACTCTCTCCTTATTCTACTCCTGTCCTAGTCTCATCGACCTCCCTGGACCAGTCTGAACCTCATCTCACCCCCATGAAGGACTCATCAGGGTTGGGACCGCCCTCAGTGAGGATCACCCTCGGTGAGGTTCACCCTCGCAAAGTCCCTAGTCCCTATAGCATCGGGACCGGTAGAGGATCAGCGCGTCAATAAGGTGTTTGTTTAATTTGCGGATTCGTCCGACGTGTCGTCCGGCTGTCCGTTAGCAGGGGTGCTCAGAGAATATCAAACAATTACGAAGATCTTTCCGCGAGTCTCGTCCGCGCGGGACTGCGTGGGGATTCGTGTGCGGATAACAGGGGTCTAGCTGCAAGTGCAATAGGCCCCGGGACAGTGAGGCCGCACCTGATCAAGGGACAAATAGCGAGCGCGTTAGAGACTGAAGAGCGATTACCCAGCTTCCTATTTTTAGATAGGACATCCAATGGGTCTGCTGAGAACCACAGTGGCTGCTATAGGCTATGTAGGGTCGAATGGAGAGGGAAAAGAAAGTGGAGGAGATACACACGGAGTGAGTTTATATCGGGAGGACGAAAAAAGACCTAAAATCCTTTGCGTATCGATCCGATGAATCCTGTTTATTCGTTTCTAGTAATGAAATCGTCTGGCGTCTCACTAATGCAAGGACTTCAAGCACACAGTCTCTCTCCTGGTTCTCCATCTCGTTCCTCTCCTCCTTCTTTCTCTCTCCCTCTCATTTCTCCACTCGCTGCTGCTTTCCAACCCTCTTAATCTGCAGCGCCTGGTGCTTCGTTTCTTCTTGATCCGCCGTTTCTCTCCTCGGACGTCGTCGCGTCGATCAATTACGCATGGGGCCGCGCCTCACTCTCGGTTTACCCGCTTGTTACGAACAAATCCTCAATTCCTTGTGTTATCAATCCGAACGGCCGGCCGAGTAAAATTATATCTAGGGGATCAATGAAAAATCTAAATAAAACCTGAGCCTTTTCTTAACTGCGAGTCCCCATGATTATTTAAACAGAAGCGGGCACCTGTTCGATTGTTGAAGCGATGTAATAAAAAGGGACCCCAATGTATAAGGGATGCTTTAGTCATATAACGGTTCGGTGTACTCATTATTCAACCGTTTTAGTGGCTCTTCTAAGGGATGGACAGCGAGGTCCGGTCATGAGAACCGATAGAAACAAAAGCTCGAAAACCTGTTGGAAACAATCGTGGATCCCAGGGCGGTTGGTGCTGGACTCGGGCAGGAGCAAGGAGGGAGTGAGATATTTCCACGGGGCTGTGGGGTAGTGCAAAAGGGGTGTCTGAATAGTACGATGGCTTCTCTTTCCTTTTTCCGCGGACAACCCTTTGTGCGTCGATCGGTCTCGACTCTCACTGGTCTAAGGATTTTTTAATTCTTTTTCGCGATGTTGTTCGAAGGATTTGAGATCTCTTAGAAATTGAAAAAAAAAGTATTTCCTCCAGCATGCACTTTTTGTCCTGTCTTACCCAATTGTATCCTATTATAACAGGTTAATAGCGGGTATGAAACGATATCGGCAACTCGCTTGAAAATTGTCAAGAATCCTTCGTCTTTAAGAAACGCAATACATTTTGAAAATTTCCTTATAAAAGTGAAAAAAAAAGTGTCAGCGAATCATTTCGATACATCAAACAATTTAAAAGTTGCACTCATTCAAATTCGAGAAAGGCTATCGCCCAGGATTTGGACCGAGTGTATGTCCGTCTTTCTCTTACCCACGTAAATGCCCATAAGTCCGTCTTTCTCGCGCTCGAAACAAACATAGGAAACTTGAGAATCTAAGACATAGATACTTCTCTCTGGCTGCTCGATCAAACAGACAACTTGCTGATGGGCATGAAAAACGTTTGCTGGCTCTTTCGTACGTCTTTAAAAAGTCCCTTCGAAGATCTCCGTCTAAGACGTTCGCTGAGTTATCTTAGACTAGATTTGGTAGTTGCGCTTCCAGCTCCAATATAACATATTAGCGTGTCTGGCGCTTAGATCTTAGCTAATTTTCTTGGAAGTCTCTGGACTTGGATTCCACGTAGTGTCCAACGCGTGGCGTCTACGTTTTTCTCCTAGGAACGGAATAAGAAAGAGAGAGACCGCGTGTGCGTGTGCGCCTGTGTCTGTCCGACTGAAAGATTGTGTTGGCTAGCAAGGGTAGTAAGGGGGCTAGTGAGGGTAGTAAGGGTAGAGTGTATGGGGTGGTTGCGGCCTCTGTGGCGGCTCCGGCGGCTTCGGCGTCGGCCACAGAGAGACAGAGCTACATGGAGCTGGGTAGGAAGGGGCTGGTCAGTGCTCCTTACGGGGGTGGCGAGTCTCTTCTTAATTAACGCTCGCCTCTTTTGCTGCAACCCCCTGGCCACCAGTGTGCCGTAATGAGGGTGGTGCCGTGTGTGAGTCTACGTCCTAGCGTAGGTGTGTCGCTGTATCAGTGACCTAGATGAGACGCGCCCCGTCTAGCTAATTCTTTTCTTCCGCGCTGACCACTAAAGTAAGTAGATGGCTATATACGTTTGCTATATAAAACTGGCTCCGTGTCTCCATGTAAGACTCTACTGTATACTTTATGTACCTTGCTCTATGTATCTATATCTATACTCCAAGTACTATAAATGTGTATAGATATGTATATATATACACTGTATGTATATGCCACTACCTTATACTCGAGGAAGATGCCAAGCTGGAGGTTTGTCGAAAATGGCAATACCAAGTGTCCTATCCGAGAGCCGGTGTCTTTGTTTCAGTACTTCAACTCTCCTTCAAGCGAGCAAGTATTTGGAAAATTTGAGAAAACTTGAGAAAATCAAAGGAGACCACCCAGTAAAACTGGCTTCTCGTTAATATCCTAGTACTGAGTTGGCATTCCGAAATCATGCCTGAAGGAAATATTGATCGCCGGAAGTCGACGATTACGCGACTATCTAGGATGGAGTCAAATGGACAGTGGCTACCGTGTCTTCCGGAATTCTCATACCTTTTCTTTCTTTTTCCCCAGCTCTACGTGTACCTTTCTCTCTCTCTCTCTCTCTCTCTCTCTCTCTCTCTCTCTCTCTCTCTCTCTCTTCCATTCTTTCCCTCGGTATACGTAGGAGATGTTTCGCACGTAGAGCGAGAGCTTCCTCTCTCGCGAGACGCATCCGGTACGTCCTTTCCCTCTCTTCATTCTCCTTCCTTCCATCCATCTACATTTCCTCCTCAAGACCGATTCTCACCGAAGCGTCCCTTTTACCACCGATGCTTCGTATCTTCCGCGTAGCTGCTGGTATATGGCTACCATTAACGGGGTAGACTGCAGGAGGATAACAACAATTAACCCCCGTTAATAAAGACGATTGTGATTAATTATCGGATTTAATGACCGGCTACACTTGTAAATATAGTCGAGCGTTAGTACACCGTAAAAATTAGAGACCATGATTCCTCGTAAGGACTGTCCCTATAACATGAGCGCGACACGGAGACGCTGAGCGTCTACCATGCCTGTCACACTCGGCTGATCTTTCAACCAGCAATCACTCGGCATTGCCTGTCGACTGCGCCGTGCGCTGCGTGCGGCCTGCTGCCTGTTATCTGGCTTATGGCTCTACACTCTGGACTGTGGGACCTGGCCAGTACACGTTATACGCGAACCTATCGCGGCTATCGGCTTCTTTTCAAACTGCAAGAGAATCATTCGGGCAAACATACTTCTCCTTGGTAAAATCGGTCAGGCTATTGAGAAATTACGTACTCTCTAGATTTGACGTTCTCCAGCACGTGGAACCACTGTGTGACTTATCCAAGAGACGTTCTTTCAACGCTGCGTATGTGCTTTACGTGCGTAGCTTTCCTTGTGTGCACTCTTTCTCTCTCTCTCTCTCTTTCTTGGAAATCAGAGATAATTATCGTGGAGTGGCTACCTACATACGTTTGGCTAGATACATAGAAACGTGCGTCGAGATATTCGCAAGCATTAGGATGCTCGTGGCGCGTAGGAGAAATGAGCTCACGTACCGAAATTAACCGTGGTTCCTGGCATTTAAAAATAATTCATAATTATCGGTATTATTAATAGTTTACTCGGTTACTCTATATCGTTATACACGCGTGCCACGTACGGCACCATATGCCGCGAATACTGCTGAATCGACAAGGTATTTTCGGTATACGTATTTTTCCATGCAATTCTGTATAGTCGCAGCCTCTTCGTACATTTATCCTCTTTCTCTCTCTTCGCATGATTCACTACGAAGTTGGCCCACTAACAATGGCATAAGTCACTGTCAGAATAACGCACCGGCAATTCACCCAAATAACGAATATACTTTTGCCTGATTAATATAGAATACATAATAGTAGAATGACGTATTGCATCGTGGGACGCGTCAAGCACTGGGACTGCCAGGGTTCACTGGAAGGGTGTAACGTCTGATATGGTTACACTCGACTCTAGAAGAGTTCCACGTGTTTTTTTCATCGGGTCGCTCATCGAAGTATCGATTGGTTCGTATAATAATTACCTCTCCTGCATTAGGGGTTGCTACTCCCCCTCGATGACTCCCCTTTACCCCCACCAAGTCCCCCTCGCACTCTGCCTTCGCCATCCTCTATTAGACTAGACTCAGACTATCAGGGGGTCGCGGAGAACTTCCAACAGCTGCCTCGCACTACCTTCCTATATTTGGTAGATATAGTGCCGCTCGTCGATTCCTTCGTTAATTAATTATTTAGCCATGCGGTAAATAAATATTTGCCCGAGTCCCCACCAACTTTTTCTCTCTCTCTGTGTCTCCGATGACGTTTCCCTTCGGTTTTCCTCGGCCACGTTGCTCCCAGCACTAAAGTGTCCTTCCTATATGCTTTATCTATATGTACTGTGACGTAATTTTTCGATTCGCGGTCACAAGGCGACTCGGACTATCGATACAGATAACGTTCGCGCTTTCTGATTTTCTTCGAGTCGTCACCCTGCTTAGATGCTACGCTCTTGGATTGATTCGTATAGTTGTGTCACTGCTGTCGAAAGATTTGGTATTGTTTAGTTGAGGTCGAGATGCTCTAATCTGCCGCGGGGAGATAGTCTCAAGGTACCGAATTGCCCGGCAGAGAAGAGGACTCGACGGAGACGTCTCTACGGACCGGCAGAATCCCGGGTGAGGTACCGGCGCCCCGCTGGAGATGGGCAAAGAGCTGTAGAGTGGGCAGAGATAAGGTTTTGATATGGTTAAGGGCAGAGGAGGAACCCCCTGACCCGAGTTAAGGATGTGGTGCCCAGCTGTCGCCCGATGACCTGCGGAAGCGGCCGTGGAGGATCTCCAGAAGTTACGCACCGATTCGCTAAGGAACGCTCTCGGTTTGGTTTAAAGGGACGACTCGAGGGAGATGAAAGAGTCAGCGGTTAAAAGGCTCTCGACCAATCAGAATGATTAGTTCTCGGATTTGGCTATTTTGTCAAAACAGTCTGTCTCGGGTCACCGACCGAGGTGTCACGAGGGACATCGCGCTCCCGTGCTATCTGTTGTTAGTTTTTCTAGCCGTGTTTCGATGCAGTGTAGCAAGTTCTCGATTCGTACAGTTCTCGCGTTGTTCTCGCGATATCCAGGCAATTCTATGAATTCCTGTGAGTGTTCCGGAGGTGTAGTGCTGTGCCTTAGTGCAGTGCTCCCCAGAGTGTCTTTGGGGTACAGTTCTCGACCTCCACGGATTAGCTGCACCAGCTCCGGTGAGTCTCCCAATTTATTAATTGGTGAAGGGATCTCGATAGATAGTTAAGATTCGTTCTGATGCGTTCTCGATTCGTCGCTCTCTGTCTCTCGCACTATTTGCCGGACTCTTACTCCGACCCTCTCTACCTCAAACCTAGCAGCCTGAGCGGCCGCGCATTTCCGTAACCGTCCGCTCCCGTTCGTGCATCCAGTTGCGTTTGCTGATTTTACGCGACCCTAAAGATCAGCACCTATGGTTGCGTTTCTTGATTCGTTATCGGTGTCAAATTAAGAAAATACGTTACAGTACATATCGATACGTACAGAGCAGTATTCCATAATACCAGGGAATCGATGTGCCCTCGTCGTGACAAATTGACAAATCTTGATATTCGACTGAACGAGTATTACGTGCGTAAATCCCTGACACAAGGATCCTTCGTGTACGAGAATATTATATTTTCTAATAGAAATGAAGATTATTGAAGTATCGTATTCCAATTTATCCGTAGGTAGCATTAAATTTCCAGGGATTCCGCGAGCGAGACGCAAAGCGACCTTTCGGGATGTTGGATTAAAATTAGCTCGTGATGGTGGAGACTGCTCGGACCAGGAGAAGGGATAGAGACTTGGAGAGCTTGGAGAATAAGAGGAGACTCCGGGATACGTGAGAATCGAGATCAGACGAAGAATATAGAGAAAGAATGTGAAACTCTTGGCGCATCTACGATCAGGCATCGATTTCCAAAATGACGCTCGTCGGAGGAAAGTGGATCTTCAAGAAGAAATGGCATAGAGGCAGGGCAGTGCGTTAGAGCAGCATTAGCATACGGGTAGGCAGGAGTCGCGCGTTCCCGGTATAGTGGGTGGCGATGGCGAGTATTTCTGTATCTAATTATAATCCTTGGGTGAGGGAGCGAGGCAATCGCCTAAAATTAGAGCATATAGTCTATAGTCTAAGAGCAAGAGCACCGCGTAGTCATTTTATATATTCTCTGTACTTTATATCTTGGAATTCCTTGATATTCCCTAGAATACACCTGACAGTCACGGACGTTTGATATTTCTCATAAAAGTCATCCCTTACATTGGATTGAGCTTTTGGGTGGTTCCCGGGAGTTCCAGGGCAGTCTCCCCTTTATTGTCACACGCGCCGTTTGATTTTCAGGATTTTAATGAGGTTTCTGCGGGCAGCCGCACGGGCCGTGGTACAAATCGAAGGAACTACGGCGAAGTCAAAAGGGCCAAACAGGCCAGAAGGGATTAAACGGGGCTCGCGTTCTGACGAAGCGAAAGGAAAATATAATTCGTAGGAAACAATGAAACGAGCGACAGCTTGTGATTAGGCCGTGCTGGAATAATAATCAGGATAATGACAGGTTTACACCCCCGATGGGCAACGGGGCTGCGAAGCAGGGACGTCCATGGGGTTGACGGTAGGTTTGTTGGGTTAATTGTTCTGTGGCGTGTCGAACTGAACGCGAGTCGCTTGCTCGCACGCAAATGTCACCGCGAGGCACGAAAAATTATTGATATTCTGACAATATTTTTCTATTTCATTCTCCATATTTTCATTAATTTTATTCGTCATTATCAATTAGAGGAATTCTTGTAAAAAAAAATTTTGATTCATCGAAGAAGCCTCAGCGATCGACTCCTCTCCCTGATAGTAGCTCCACATATGTCCTATACCTACAGATTATACATATAGATCATGTACGTGAATTGCCAAGAACGCGGATAATTAGCGATATCGAAAGTTGTCCGACGAGTTTTCACAGCAATCGCTTCGCGACGTCGTTGACACGTGACGATCGCTCGATAATCAATATTTCTCGTCGACTACCAGATCTCACATATGTATCTGGGCACTGGGCACATGTGCGTAGCCATACGTGTATACTGGTAGTCGCACAACTCCTACGGATTCACTGTGATTATTCGCGCACATGTAAACCGGGTAGGAGACTCTCTTAAACGCTCGATCGTGCGTCCGGCGACACTACACGCATGTGACGCGACAAATCGCTGCTGCGTTCAGTTAATCCAAACGCAAAGTAATGAAAATAACCAAAAGGACAATCGCCAAACGATCTCTACGTAAATTGATACTTTAAGGCGAGATGCTGGGAGTCTCGAGCGAAAGCGAAAGGTGCAAGTGGTTTTCAAATGTAAAGTCAATCTGGGAATTTGATAAACGTGCGCGGAGGTTATTAAGCGGAAGCTTGAAAATTTTTATTGGGAAAATTAAGAAAAACGATAAGTCGTAATTTGCACATTTTTTGTATTTATTAACGTGAATCCTCAGTTTCAAGCGACTCGAAAGATTTTGGTCCAGCCGATCCAAATCCATGTTACGTGTCTATCCAGTTCCGCGCTATTTCTCCTAGTCCGACTTTACTCTAGGCCATAAGGACATCGTTAAGATTATATTTAGGTATCGTAAAAGAAAATATGCGCTCGTACGAGCCAAGTCGCTCATTACATGAGACAGCATTAACGACACTGTGAATCCATCGCGAAAGACAATTTTGAGTAACATAATAATTTTTTGGCAAGCAATCTCCAAGCGTGTGAGAGAGAGAGAGAAAGAGAAAGCGTGTAGGGGCAGAGAGGGAAGAAGAGGGAATGACTAAACTCCAAGTAAACGAAAAATTCCACTGGCATATTATTTCCAATACTGTTTCCTTTTCTCTTTTCTGTTCTTTTATCATTTCGTCCTCTTTTCTTTTTTCCTGTGGCGTTAAATAATTTCATGACGTTTGATCTAATTCCGGATCTGATTTCACATGGCGAACTATAATTCTTCGAATTTATTTTGCGCTGCCAGTTGAAATTACCGTTCGAGCAGAACGCGTCTGCCATTCGACTTTATATTTTCTCAAATTCTCCGTATTTTTAGCCAACGATCCGGGACGCACACTCGTGCACGTAGATAGGTAGGCATACGGATGAGATGCTGCCAGAGATTTCTAGGTCAATGCTGCGAATGTTGTTCGAGCCTAGAGTAACCCCGACAACCCTTAAAGTGTGAACAGACGAATTTGGAAATTCGAACGCCGCCAAAAGTCAGTCTAAACGATATACCGTCCCGGAAGAGGGAAATGGACCTCGTGGCGCGTTGCATGACGCACCAGCGTGG